TATACTTTAAAGCTTTTTACTTAATTTTCTTAATCTCTCGAAATTAGTTGATTGGGTCTATTGATATATTTATATTAAGGATAGGAGTTAGTATATAAATGTTTATTTATCGATTTTTTATATAAACAGATGTCACAAATAATTTTTTTAAATTGATTTTTATGTTATGATAACCAGAAACTATAATCATTTTTTATTTATAAATTTTTAGTTCTTGATTGTGGCGTGAACGTAAAAATGATTAGAGATAGAAAAGGAAAGACCGGAAGCGATAAATCTTTATTTGAATTATTGGGGCAAAAGGAAAAACCTTAAAAACAAAAAGGATACAATTACGAGAAATATAAAAAAGAAAAGACTTTGACTATTAGTAAGTCATTTATTTAATTTAATAAATAAACAGGTCCCATATTCTATATCTCACCACCTATCCACCCATCAAAAATTCACAATCTATTTGTATAAAATTCGGGTCTTTGGACTTTTTAACTCTATCTAATCTGTATATGTGGTCCCTTCTGGTCTTGTTTCCTTCTATTATTGACTCCAAAGTCCTTGTCCTTTATCAAGTCTTCTTCCATTGCTGATTAATAATCACATTCAACCCCCCCGCTTTTCCCCTCTCGTCATTGACTCTTTGGTAGAAAAAATTAGTTAGAAAAGAAAGGAATGAAATGAAACGGGATAAAAAAATTTCTGATCGATGGCTTGTTTGATAGGCATTAGAATAAAAAATAGGTTGATGAAAATTTTTATGTTTGGTTAGATAAAAATGGCTGGGAAAATTATGCAATTTTACCGTATTACTCTCAATAAAAGAATATAATATTATTAAATAAAAATGCTTTTCAACCTAAATATAACATTGTTAAAAATTTTAATAATTAAAAAATGAATGGATAAAAATATATTATAATTTAAATAAATAAATATGAATATTCAATATAAATATAAAAATTATATATATTAAATAAAAAATAAATAATTGAATAAGAAAATATAAAATACTCCTCCAGTTCTAAATATAAGATCCTTTTTATAGTATAAATTACACTACGAAAGGAAGTCTTATATTTAGGACTAAAGAAGTGTAATATAATAGAGAAATCTGAATAAGGAATGAAAATTCATATACAAACGAAAAAAGAATGAAGTATCATCAAGCAAGTTGTAAATCTGAATAGACATGAATAAAAGTCAATTAAAATGTGAATTTTTAGTGAACATACATTTCTTAATTTAAATTTAAGTAGGTGAAATGATCTATCATTTGAAAGCTCTCCAAGTTTAATTTCTAATGTAACAGGATCCATTAAATAACTTTTTGTATTTTGAAATTTATTTCTAAGACAGTAAGAAAATGTTACAAACATTTTCCAAAAATAGAGTAACGTTGCATAATTAAATTATTTAGATAGATGTTATTGAAAAGCTGATTGAGCCTATATGTATATCAAACAATTTTACACTTTAAAAGTATTTATAGTTTGTGAGATATTATATTAACATTAATCAAAGTGCTAATTTAAATTTATTGTATCTAGCTAATTTGAATTTGCTCAAGAAAATTCGAACTTGATGCAGCAAATTCAAATTTTCTTACATCAAATTTGAATTTGCTTATTTTCTTCTCACAGTTTAAAGCTTAACAATGAGTTTATTAATGTAAATTGGATTTTTTATCAAGAAATTTCAATTTATGCACGATACATTCCAATTTTCGCACAAAATTTGAATTTACTCAAACTCTGCTATATTCTGATTTTGATACATTGAACAGAGCAATTTTCAATTAGTTATAAGTTATAACTTTCTCAATTTAAATTCAAATTAGGCAAATGACCTATCATTGAAAAGCTACCTGAGTCTAATTTTTAATGTAATAAGACCCATTTAAAAACGCTTTGTAATTTTAAAGTTATGATCAAAATAGTGAGCAAGGGTCAGAAAAGTTTTTCTCACCGGATTTGAAAAATCATATCTTTTTTATATGAAAGCGTTTTTATTGAGGTAAATGGATATGAAGATGATTTTGATGCATTTTGTTTGCCAAGAAAAAAAATAAGAGGTGGTGGATATGAAGATGAAAAAAGAAAAGTAGATGGAAAGAAAGAAGGATGATGAGAGAGGAAGAAGCAGTAGGAGAAGAAGAGGGAGAGCAAGAACGTATGCAATAAGAGTAAAGTTAAAAAGTTGTTATGTTTTAAGAAAAAATCAATGCAGTTCAATGGTTTTTTTTTTGTTTATGTGAAATATACTATAAATAAAACTAAAAAAATAATTTTTAAGTTTATTCCAATTTAATTATGCACTTTCCAAGAAAATATATACGAAATTATTATCATAACAGATGGCTAGGAAATGTCGGTGGGCCCTAGCATGCAAAACAATGCCTCCTAGGAAAAATAAATCGGTGGTATTTTTGTTAAAAAAGCTAAAATTTAAATAACTTATCTGCAGGGATTTAAGTTGACCGCCGACATAGAAGGTTTTATTACATCGGTTGAAATGGAAATGAAGTAGAAAATTATTTTTTCAATATAAATTAGAACTTGTAAATTCTTGTATAGATATTTATTATTTTGTTATGCATGGTTAGCTATCAAAATACATATATATGCTTGTAAATTTGCTTACCAATATTTTTAATGTTTTTGTATAAGAAGCTGTTATAATGTAAACGAAGAGTTGTAAATTTTCATATGAATACTTATTATTTTATGATGATTAAATTTTAAAATGGGTATATGCATTTGTAATTAAAATTTCAGAATCTTTTGCTATTTGTTTAAAATTAAGGAGCATTAGTGATATTTAAATGAAATTCTCCCTAATAAATTTTGCAATGACGACATTTAATTTAATATAAAGAGGAAAAAACAAATTTTTAGGTATATCTAGATTACAATATTTTCAATTTTCAATATTTCCAATACGCATTTTTCAGACTTGGACACAAGACTTTGGGTTAAGTAAATATAACTCCTTATTAGTGGAAAGAAGCTAATTTTAACGGTTAAAAAGTCTTCCTTAAACAAATTGACTCGTAGTTTGATTTTCAATCATTGTGAATTGAATAAGTCTAGTTAGAAGGTATTTGCCTTTTGCCCTCTGTATGTTGAGAGGGATTAGTCTCCCCTGCGCGTGGAGAACGCAATAGTTCGCCCCAAAAAAAAAAAAAAAACTCATGTGAACCATAATATAAGTCATTTCTAGAAAAATAACTTAATCTAAAATATAAATTATTTAAAAAGTAATTAATACTTATTTATTAATTTTTTTCAATACAATTAATGTTTAAATATAACTCCTTATGTTTTTCTCTTCTTTTTTTTTGTAACCTCATTTAATATGAGGGAAGTTGAAAAAAAATTTTCAATTTGAAGCAGATTTAATGAGCTAACTACCATTTTGATTCTAACCAATTAGTTAAAATAATTTATATAATAACCGGAAAAAGTAGTAAATTGCATAAGTTCGAAAGTTAATTTTTTTTTTTGGTAATAAGTTCGAAAGTTAATTTTATTGTCAACATAAATTTTCTTGGAAAAGAAAACTCCGACCGAAGTAAGCATTGAAAAATTTTGTCAATTGATTATAAAAAATCTAAAGATTAAAAACGATTCTAAATCTGAGGTTCAAACATAACACGGAAAAATCTGTTCGCCTCTCTTGCAAAACATAAAAATAAAAAAAACCATTAATATATTTGCGGAGGTGCTAGGATAATGTGATATGCAGTGTTGTTTAAATATCCGATTATCCCTCTTGGTGAAATAAACAAATGCATAGATGTTGAACATTTGTCAAGTTGAAATAATTAAAAAAAAATGAAAAATGAAGAATTATAAACAGCAAACAATTGCAAAAGATGTCAACTTGACAAAAATTAAGTGAGATTTACCTTTGTTTGGATGGAGAGAAAATTAGAAAGGAGAGAAAACTAAAGAGAAAAATAGTAGGAGAAATGAGTTTTTCTCTACTTGGATCAAAGGGAAAATGTGGGATGAAGGAAAAGTAAGGGAGAAAATAATGTGGGCCCTATGCTTTATTATTATTTTTTTTTTCAAATTTTCTCTCAATATATGAAGAGATTTGGGGAGAAAATGAGATTTTCGTGACTATCTCTCCTCTCGCACCTTCTTGAGTTCTTCCTCCCCATATTTATTTTTTATTATATTTAAAAAATTATTCACTTTTTTATTTTTTATCTTAAAACAATATTTTTATTAAATAATTTTGTTTTAAAATATAATAATTTTTTATGGAGTTAAAATATAATAATATGAAAAAATATATAAACCAAATGATTTGTATTTGATGATGCTAATGTTAGTATAATTTTTCTATTGTAATATTTAATTTGATTTAGTGTTAATTATCATATATCTTAATAAGAATATTTTAGCCTTTTATACATTTACTCATTTTTTCTTCTCTATTTTCCCTCGTTTGTCCAAGTCAAAGGAATGATAACATTTTCTTTTTAGTTTTTTCTTATCTCTATTTTCTCTCATCTCATTTTTTTTCCTCCCAACTTTTCTATTCAAGCATAGCATTAAGGTGTTTCAAGCCTCTTAAAATAATCGTTTTTATACTTTACAAGATAAAAATCATTTCATATATTCAGTTCATACAAAAATATTTTTTAAACTAATTTATTAAAGCTAATTCAAACAAGAAAGCCAGATAATACTTCAGGAAGCCAAGGAATTTTAGAAGGCTTCTTTTAAAAAAAATTCATAAAAAAAAAAAATCAAAACCACGTCATTATCATGAATATAATTAATTTTACGTAGAATTTTATAATCTATGCAAAGAAGAAAAAGCATTTGCAAGGAAAAGTCATTTTGCCAGGCAGACGCGTTAAGAGTACGAGCTGTATTATTTAAAAAAGAAACTGACACTGACACTGACATTTTGTGCTTGCACTGACGCCTCAGCTTAAAGCTGGGGCTCGTTGCGGCTTTACGCACGGAAACATTTTGGTGAAGAAAATAAGTTTGTTACCCATGGCAGACTTTATGCTTGTGTTGGTGAAGAATGCTTGGAGTATTTTGAATGAAGTTCGAAGGTACAGAAAGAGTCGTGAAAGGCTCACGTCAACCACCAAGCGCCTGGGTGCGGTGATTCGACAGATGGAACAGGGAATGAGGGGGATGGAACGCAGAGATATTGATCGTCTAACTCAATTAGTGCAGAATCTTAAAGGCTTGAACGAAGCAAACCAAGAGGTCCTTGATAAGAACGAAGTCCTTTGGTGGAATTTCTGCCTTCTATCATGTTTTCGGAGCAAACATGAAGATACGTATCAATCGGCTGTGATGTACGTCATGTTCGAGGTGCTGCTACCCGAGATGGGAGGCCGTTTGATAGAACTCGAATCCAGGTTGACTAATGATGGAAGCCAAACCATGGCAGCTCCAGCCCAAGAGACTTATAGTAACATCAGACCCATATTCACCAAATTTACGGTGAAATTGGGGAGTCAAAGTCATATTATGGACAAGTTGAAGATTATGCTGCTTACTGACCGTGGATCGCAGACGCTGAACTTGTATGGTTTGCCCGGTTCCGGTAAGACCACTTTGGCTGAAAATCTCTGCCAAGACAAGGAAGTCAGAGGTAATGTCCCCCATTCCTTAGCTGCCATAGCCTTCGTGTTTCTGAGTTCATTCCAGTGCTGAGAATTCTGATATACATTGTAAATTAACCTCCACTACTGCATTGATCATCATGTCATTTTTATACATCAGTTCACTTTTCTTCCTTGTACTTGTGTATAGGGTGTTTGACTTGGCTTATTTTAACTAATTTTGCATTGTACGAGTACGATCATTCTATTAATCACAAAAAGTCAGTAACAGAATTCAGTTACTGCTCTGATATGATCATTCTCACCCCCTTGTGCCAAGATGGATGCTGATTTTGCTAGATTCATGTAAATCTGGCAGGAGCATCTGTACTAGTATTCTTTTTTCAGTGTAAGTGAAAAATAAAAACCTCCCAATAATCTGTGTACAGGATATTAGCAGCATTTTAGTAGCTTTAAAATAGTCCCTAGTGATCAGATTGATTTCTTCCACGTTGTGACAGTTTAGTTTTACTTGTTTCAACCCCTTCTTCTCCCAACAAAGTTTTAGGCCTTCTATAATTCCCAAAACTTCAGCAATGGCTGGAGGGTACACGACATTTTTTTGCAGAATAATTTTAAAACCCTGAAAATGGTGCTTGATAAAAATTAATATTATGTGAAAAGGTAATCATGTTGTGTTGAGGAACTTCTTGGAACGTCAGCAACATATATACATATGATGAATTCTTAATATGATTGAGGTTTGAAAATGTTTATCTCTAATGAGAACAGAGTAAGGACATTTTTATATTAAACAAATTTAAGGAAACATAAAACACATTCACTAGTGAGAGATGCTGGTGAGGACGTAGATCAAACAATTTAGAGTCCTTTAAAAAAGGACAAAGAAAGACCAAAGAGAATGCTTAAGTCATTGAACAACATTTTTTGGTTAATAACCTATCTAAAAATTTGGTTATTGGTGGAATATAATGGCGTCATGCAATCCATATAGCCGATTCTAGCTAGTGGGATAAGGCTTATATGCTCACGGCTCCAATAGGAAACACTTGTATCTTAAAGTTAATAGAAATCAATTCCGTTTTTCTCTTTTGCTTTTTGTTTCAATAGATCACTTCAAAGATAGCATCATCTTTGAGACTCTGGGATCACAGATTCAAAGCAATGAAGCTTCCATCAGATTGTCCAAAATTCCGGATTCAAAACTATTGGTACTGGATGATGTTTGGCCTGCCTGCGAAAATATCATTGAGGACTTGAAAGGTAAAAGACCGGGTTGTAAAATTTTGGTGACTTCAAGATATCAAATTACAAAAGTTGGCACCCGGTGCCACATGGAATTACTTTCTCTCGAAGATGCAGAAGCCCTTTTCCTTCACTTTGTTCGACCAACTGAAATCGATCTTGATGACCAGGGAATACGTCAAATGCTCCTACAGGTACATATATCATGATTCCTTAATTTGTCTGGATGAGTCTTTAGAATTGGAGATGTGATAAATATGGTGAGTCAAAATTCACAACTCCATAATTTTCTTACGTAGTTCTTAATTATCTTCTCTAGTACTTTAGAAAAGGATAAAATTAAGTCAAGTTGCTTATATCTATTAGGTTAAATTTTCCTATGAAACTTATTATTTTGCCATTGTTAGCTGTTAAAATGTGTATATGCACTCGTAAATTCACTTTATGAACTTAATGAATATAAACAACTCGATCTAATTTTTGTCCCTTAGAAACGGTTCAAGTGAAAACAGAAAAGCAAAATGAGAATACCATAAACAGGGGATGTTTTGACACACAAAAGGAAGAAAAAGTCATAACCTTAATTGGAGCCACTTGTCGTATATCGTTCATGAAAATGCAGATTGTTGAAGGTTGCAAGGGCTTACCATTCGCCATTGAATTTCTTGGTCGCAATCTCCAAGGGAAAACTACTGAAGAGTTTCAATGGGTGCAACCAACATTGTTGCAAGGCTCAATTCTAGATTCACATGAAGAGTTGCTTGCTCAACTCCAACATTGGTTGCATCAATTCGTAGGTGAAACCCCCCGGGAGTGCTTTATGGACCTTGTGTTATTTCCTGAAGATGAAAAAATCCCCATTACTTCATTAATAGACATGTGGATTGAACTGTACAAAATGGATGAACGTGGCATATATGCTATGACTGTCATCCGCAAATTAACAACCCTGAGTTTAGTTGCCGGGGTCAATGTGCGAAGGTAAATACGTGCATTGCATTCTTACCATTTTGTCATGAGTCTTACATTGGACACCCAAGTTTGATGACTAGATGTTAGGATGTGGTTCTCTTAAGAACATGTGCTCCTTACACATCTATGTGTGCTAATTAATAAATTTGACTTAGGATATAAATTTGAATTTGATTTCGATTGTATTGGTAGTCCACGATTCAAGTATATATTGGCTTTTGAACCTTGTTTGAGCAGGACTGTTCAAAGCGATCTAGACAATTACTACAATCACCACTTTCTCAAGCAGCATGATCTTCTTAGAGAGCTAGCCATCCGTATAAACAATGAGGAACCATTTGAGATTAGGAGAAGACTGATCATTGACATGTTTGGAAATCAGCGTCCTAAGTCATGGCCCCATCGCCATCAACAGCAGCAACAAGGGATCGATGACCACTCATTAAGTTGTTTTACCAAATGGTTTGGAGACCCGAGCCAGCTCAGAGGAAAGGCTAAGATACTTTCAATATCAACTGGTTTGTTTATCTCTTACACTGTTATGAAGGAATTCAACCAAAAAGCTCATAATGCCGTTCTATACCATTCACCTTCTTTCACATTTAATGCAGATCAAAACACTGCTTCAGAATGGTGCGACATTCAAGCAGATGATGCTGTCGTTCTGATTTTAAATCTTAAAACTACAAGATACACGTTGCCTAAATTCATCGAGAAAATGAGAAACCTGAGAGTTCTTATCATCACCAATTATGGTCTGGGTTTCACTGAATTGGAAAACCCAGGACTACTTGATTCCCTACTGCAACTGAGAAGAATCAGATTGCAGCGGGTTTCACTTCCTTACCTATGCAAAATGAAGAACCTCCACAAGTTATCTCTTTACATGTGTGAAGTGCAGAAGGCTTTTGAAAATAACCCCATCGAATTCTCAGAAGCAATGCCGAATCTGGTGGAGTTGAACATTGATTACTGCAAAGATTTGGTGAAGTTGCCTGTTGGACTTTGCAATACAATCACCCTGAAGAAACTCAGCATCAGTAGTTGCCACAAGTTTATCGAAATTCCCCAAGAAATTGGGAACCTTGAGAACTTGGAATTACTAAGAATCAGTCACTGTGTTGAGTTTAAGGAGATGCCAGAGTCGATCACAAAATTGAAGAGTCTAACCTTTCTTGACATTTCACATTGCACCAGACTTGTGCAATTACCGGACAATATCGGCGAGCTAAGGATCCTAAAAAGCCTGTACATGACGCGTTGTCCGGTAGAAAAATTGCCAGATTCGATCGTCCATCTGGAACATTTAAAGAGTGTGATATGCGATGAAGATACTTACCCTCAGTGGGAAACGATCAAATCGCTCCGTCGAGGACTATGCGTAAAGAAGGCTGCGGACGTAGATTTAAATTGGCTTCTTGATGATCCTTCTTCATCAGGCCTCAACCTTTGAGACTTTGAATTGCCAAAGTTGTTGTTTCAATTGAGTGATGTCCAAAAACATTGCTTTTACTGCTTTTGGTTTATTGGCTTCTTGGCTTGCTTGTTTTCTTGGTTGCAGTAGTTTGAACAAATCACCTGTGCACTAAATTTGTATTTGTACGAGAAACTGCTCGTTTAGAGTGTGTGATATCTGAATCCTTTCTTTTAAGGTGCTTAGTACGTTGTAATGTTGATGTTGGTATTCCAGATATTTGTGTTTAACATAAACTGGTAACTATTTGTATCTATTGGTAATGTACTGTTGTACATTATTCAAGCAGTACAGAAACATTGGACAATTAACTTTCCATGACTACGACTTAATGTTTTTGTTTAACCTCTGTCAGCTAACTGAGCATGAAGGCAGGAGAATCTCTGTTTTGGTCAACACGAGACACTTTTCTAACCATAGTGAACCCAAATAAACTTTCTATCAATTATAAAGGCAGTCAAAGGTGACCAAATGAGGGTTGGTTCTCACAAGTCCAGATATTTTTCTGTTGGATAGAAATAGTATTGAGTATTAAATATAAGCACATGTCTTAATGTACATTGTGAGAAATTCGCCTTTTCATTAGACCCAATCTTAATAAACTTCTTGGAATCTTTTGACTTTTGTGAAAAACTAGTTTGGGGAACTTATATGTGATTAGTTTTTCCTTCTCTTTTTTTTTCTTGGGACCTACTCCTTCTGTTGCTTTTTATGAAAAAAAATAATTAAAGAAATTATGTTGTTTAAAATATTAGTTAAAATTAATTGAAAGCAATAAATATGTAAAATAAAATGTGACCTTTTTGCCAAAAATGTCTTCATTTATGTGAGAGAGAAAATGTATGGCGAAAAGAGAATTTGTGGGAATCTATATATCTATCTTTAATATATAAAAATGAAGTACAAAGCAAGACTCATAAGAAACTACACGTGGCTTCACAAGGATACAGAGTTTTATTTTTCTAGTTTTTTAAAAATTGAAATTATAAGCAAACCTCCCCTACTTTTGTAACTACCGATGGCTACTCTAATGCATCCAACATATGTGCGTTATGTTATTTTTCTATTTTTGTAAAAGTCAAAATTTCCTGCACGCTACTCCCATGCTATCTGATTATGTGTGCTCCTAACTCTTAAATAAAAACTTAATAATTATCTCAGAAATTTAATTCATATTGTTTAAGAGCATAAATATGAATTCAATAACTTAATCAGAAAAAATCAACATAAAAATTTTCAAATAACTTCTATTAATATTTAAATTTCAATTTCATAGATTTTTTAATCTTCAATTTTACTCTTGTAAATTATTCCCACGTTGCATTATTTTTGTTCGAATTATTTTGACTGAATTATTTGTTCTTAAAATAAAGATCTTGAATAAATATTTTAAATTTTAAACTTAAAATATATGACAATGATACAACTTTCTTGATTCACCCCAAGTTATAAAAATTTTCAAATACTACTATTAATATTTAAATTTCAATTTTCATAGATTTTTTAATCTTCAATTTTACTCTTGTCTGTCATTCCCACGTTGCATTATTTCTGTTTGAATTATATTGGTTGAACTATTTGCTCTTAAAATAAAGATCTTGAATAAACATTTGAAATTTTAAATTAAAAATATATGATAATGATATAACTTCCCTGATTCACCCCGATTTATTTGGGTGCAGGATTTTATATATTTTTCTATAAAAAAATTTAAAAAAATATGGGAGAATTTTAAAAAAATACCTTTAAATTCCAACATTTCAAATTAGTCTTATTTACTATGCTTTAATAACAATTGACAATATTTAAAAAATAAATAACAACATATTTTTATAGTCATTCTTGATCGGGGATTTTGAAATTTTGGAGGTATTTTTTTGGGGATTTCCCCAAAAAAATACTATAAATTTCTCCCCCATGCCTTCCCATTTTTAAAAAACCATTGAAAATGTTTTATTCCATTATCCTTGCCAGTCGCTTCCTTCTGCTCCTCTCTAGGCAGCCAACAACCAAGCAGAAGCATATGGGAATCAATGAAAGGAGGGAGACCGTGAAGTTTCTGAAGCACAATAATACTAGAAATGTTATGCTTGTGATGAGGCAATAGAAGACACTAAAGCATGCATCTGCGGGCATTGTGAAGTTTCCGGTATTGGTACTTCCTTTATTTTCGTTATGGTTTTTCTTCATGGTTTGATATCTCTTGTCATTTTTATTTTATTTTTGTGTTCTAGATTTATACCCATAATTGAAGAAGGCAAGGAGATCCAATCCAAAACAATAAAAAAAAAAAAAAAGGACAAAACTTTTCCGGTAACTTGCAACTCTGCCTAAGTAATTCAAGAAAAATGAATTGATTGCGCTACCCAAGTACTTTTCCAATTACCAATTATCTTCCTTCTTTCTGGTTGAAATCTGTGAATGTGAATCAGCAAAGCAAGGCATAATTGTGCATAATGCTTAGCGTTGATTCTAAGTAGATTTCTTTTGTTGATGCTTCACTGAATCTTCATTTTTGCTGTCTTCATTTCAACTCCTCACCACTCAAACTTTACTCTTTATTTACACCAATCATATATAGCTTTGATTAAATCAAAATCCCATGATTAAAACTTTAAGACAATCTTTAAATACCTCTTATAAAAGGAAACATAACATACTCCAAAACTGAGTCTTATAAAAAAGAAGGGAAAAAGTAGTTATAATTTTTCTCAAAATCTAAGTTTGCTGGATTCAAGTTAAGGGACAAAGCCAAAATTATTTAAGGCAAAAACATGCAGGTATATTGAGGGCAAATTAATAAACCTTACATTTCTTACAATTTTTCCCAGAGCTTCCGCTCATTCATTTCATGCATAAGTTGCCTATGTTTTGCAATTGCGTTGAAATGGAGAGGAATATATTCATGTATATATCAAAATTCATCAATCGATCATCAATTCTTGTCAGCTAACTGAGCATGAAGCAAGGAGAATTTCTGTTTTGGTCAACACCATAAACTTTTTAACCCATAGTGAAACCAAACAAACTTCTTTATCAATCATAAAGGCAGTCAGGTGATTAAATGAAGGGTGTTTTTTAGAGGCACAGGTGTTTTTCTATTGAAAGTACCCTATTCGATGCATTGCTAGGTGTTGAATATGGCTACCTTTTATTAATGAGAATCCAAACATTTATTTACTACGTTGTGAGAGGTTTGCTATTGGGGGACTTGTACAGTGATCAGTTTTTGTACATTGGACCTATAATTTTTCTCAAAGTTTCAAGTTTGTTGGACTCAATAAGTAGTAGAGCCCAAAAAAATTTTAAGCCCACGTGCTTCTGAATATGGGTCGCTGCATACAAAATATTTTGAGGGCACATTAATAAACCTTCCATTATAGTTTTTGTACCCAAAACAAACCTTGCATTACTTACAATTTTTCCCAGACCAGAGCTTCCTCTCATTCATGCATAAGTTGCCTTTGGTTGCAATCATGTTGAGATGGAGAGGAAGAGATTCATGTAGATATCAAAATTCATCAAACAATTTTCTCTCATAATACTATTTTGCCCCAAATGACACTCGCAAACTAATTAATGCATGCATCTATGACTCGTCCTTGATATCAGAGTATCAGACCATCCTCCTCCTTCTTATCAAAGTGTAACTGGCATAGATTTAGCCACAGATCCGCAAACTCCAACATGCATGAGCATCTTATTGATCAGTTTAAGTCCAGACAAGGGTATATGTTTAAATTTCATTGTCGTTCCAATTTTATCAATTGTCCCCGAAGGGACAATTTGAGTTTCTTTGTCAATATAAATACCTGATTGATAAACGATAACTTGTTACTGTATTTTGAACAATCTTTAAATTGTGACTCAATTCACTCAAGTATATTTTGTAGGAGAGCTATGCACAAATTGACCTACTCAAGTTCTACCTCATAATAAGATGACTTATTTTGGCAATTCACTCTCAAATGTCTCGCTAAATCTAAATATCAATACTAGTAACGTCACTTTTTTTAAATTACCAAGAAAATTTCATGGTCCTCAAATACAATAATTTCTCACAGGAAAATTAATGAAATGTTTTTTCCCCTTTTTTTTTGCCAGTAATGTATATGTTGTCCAACGATCACAATATATCTAACAAATTAGGAAAAATTAATTTGTCAGTCCTTATACTTTCATCAAATTTTGAGTAAGACGCTTACAGTTTTTTTTTTCATTTTATTCCATCCTTATTGTTTACCCTGTTATCCGTGCCAGTCTTTCTGTTTGCAAAACATGCATGCGCCATTAGTTTGAGTTGCCAAGAAATAACGTGGCAATTGCTGGTCAAAAAAAAAAAATAACGTGGCAATCTGACTGGGCAAAACCGCTGCCATGGAAAGAGAAGGATGACCAAACATAACAGAAGAAAGAGATTCATTAAATAAAAAAGAAAAAGAAAAGAAAACTTGCTCCAATCTTCTTCCCCCACCGCCTCTGCTCCATGCTGCGTTTAAAACTTTTAGCAAAACATCAACCATCTTCAATTCTTCTCTTTCTTTTGCAGATAAAAGCCAAAAACCATGTTGCTTCTTTGTGATATAAAATATTAAAGAAGACAACCAAGTGATGCGCATATAAGGTCTACATTTGACAAGGGGTGAAACAAATTTTGTTACCAAACACCCCTGATTTGATTAACTTACAAGTTTTGGCCAAGAATCAAAATGTTTGGAGAACTTTTTTCAGACCATCACGCCCAGATTCATTTTGCTTTTGCTATAATCCTTCCAATTTTTTTAAAATTGAATTTCCCTTTGATCTGAAAATCGTGAACTTCCTTTGCTTTGAGGCCGACTGTTTCTGGGCATAGTTTCCTTGCCCATCATCTCTTCCTCTTCACCCTCCCCTCTCTCTAAACCGCTATCCCACCCCCACACCACCAAAAAAAAGGCTCACACCCCCACATACCACGTCTCCTCTTTCTTCATTAACCCTCCACAATCCGCCTCCTTTCTAGATAAGCTATTATTCTTACCGAATAAAATAATTCAAACCAAAAAAAAAAACATTGCAAGCATTATCTTTCTTTAGCGTCCGTTCGAAACTTCGCTTCAAATCCATCATAGTTTTGCTTTTGAAAGCGAGCACCCTCCATATCCCCTAATGGTGCCGATACTGACATGAAGTTTCTT